CTATGCAGAAATAGAAGTACAATGATGTACACCTGAAATTTTTACAATGTTATAAACCAATGTTACTGCAATAAACAAAAAATTAAAAAAAAAAGCTTAAACTGTACAAAATATTTGTTTTGTTGAATTATAAAAAAAGATGTACTTAAAATACTGTAAAACCTTAAAAAAAAATTTATGTGGCACCTTATCTTGGTATCCTAAAAATAAATTCCAGTTTGGTATTATGTTACACACAGAAAAAAAAAAAAAAGAATACAGACCAATATTTCTCATGAATATAGATGCAAAAATCTGTAACAAAATATTAGCAAAATACAATTAAGCAACATACACAGAGAATTATACACCATGACCAAGTGAGATTTATTCCAGGAATTCAAGGCTGTTTTAATATTTGAAAATATGTAATCCACCATATTAACAGGATAAAGAAGAAAAATCACTGATCATATCAATCAAAGCAGAAAAAGCATTTTATAAATTTCAAAAGTCACAATAAAAACTGAGATAAATAGAAATAGAACTTCCTCGACTTGATAAAGAGTATCTACAAAAATCTCATAACTAACATTATACTTAATGGTGAAAGACTGAGTGCTTTTCCCCTAAGATTGGGGACAAGGCAAGGATATTTGCTCTTCCCACTCTTATTCAACAAAGTACTGGAAGTTCTAGTCAGTGCAATAAGTGAGAAAAGTAACTAAAAGGCAGGTTCTAGGTACTTTCACCATAAGCATCTTTGTCATAGACATCTTTGCTGCAAACGTTTTTGCCACAAACATTGTCCCCACATAACTCATTGGCTGTAAGGCAATTTTGCCATAAAAGATAAAATAACTGGTTGACAGTTTAGTTTCAACTGGTTGACAGTTTGGTTTCATTTCTCCATTGATGCAGTACTCCCAGTTTTATATTATATAAATCTTAGCCCTTATGATGGTCTATACGGTGGTGCAGAGTTGAACCCACATTTCCCATGGAACCTTGGAACATCTATCAACGGACATGTGACAATATGCCAAAAACAAACAACAGTGTAGAAGGCTTTCACAATGCAATACAAAGCTCAGTTACAAATATACATCCTAGTATTTGGAAACTGATATCTCTCTTAATGAAGGAAGAAATGCTAGCAAAAAAGAAAAAGGGCAATGCCGAAGGAGAAGACAAATCAACAA